CTCTCTCTCTCTCTCTCTCTCTCTCTCTCTCTCTCTCTGTCATTCCCTCTTCATCTTCCAGTCGACCAGTTTTCTTTTTCACTTTTTCGTGGCGCGTTCGCACGACGAGGAGTGGAGCGCAGCACGGCGCGGTCCGAAGCGGTCGGTCCTCGCGATTGGTCGCCGGGGAGCGCGCGAGCTCGTCCCATTGGAGGTCGCTGGGGGCGGCGCAAACTTTTACCCCCCGGCCGGAAGCCACCCCATTCGGTGTCCACGGAAACCGGCTTCTTCTCTACACCGCTGTCACCGCTCACCTGTGAACGTCTCCGACCGACGCGAATCGTTTCCCCGAAACTTCTGAAATTCTCCGGCCGTGTAAATTTCGCCCAACTTTCTGTTTCCGTCCGAAAACTTTCGAATACCCTCCCGCCCCCTCCTTTCCCCCGAAAATTACGATCGTGATGTACGTAGCGAGCGAAACGAGGACTCGCGGAGGCGAATTGGCGAGTTGGCGAGTTGCTGGAAAACAGCCCGAAGCGAGCGACAAACACCGGAAACGGAACGCGACAACGTTACTGTACACCGTGTTGTGATTCTACGAGGTGCTATCACGCCTCGCGTTCGATTAATTTCAACAACACCGGCGACCGATTCTCTCGCTCGGTCTGTCCTCTTCTCTTTCGTGCTCGTCGCTTCGACTTCGACTCTGGCTTCTTCTTTCTTCGTCACCGCGCGTCTTGGCTGGACGCGCGTGTATCGTACAAACGGAAACTTATCGGCAAACGGTGCGCGTCTTCCTCTCGCCTCTCGCGCGAATCGCGTTTTCGCTTACAATTTCCGTACTCCCAGCGTTTTCGCATGGATTCGAGTTGGATTGCGAGCGACGAGACGCGTCTGTCAAATGTACCTACGTACCTGTCGCGTTGACGTTTGTTATTACACACGGAGCGAATTAATGTTACTAACGTTACAGTGACAAGAGCGACGGAAACGAAAGTACGAAAAATGCCGACCCTTCGATTGCCGATTAACGCTGGACTAATTACCAAAATGGTCGAAATGACCAGTTTATAATTTCTATTGGAAATTTTACGGATGTAAAACAGCTTTTAGAGATTTAAACGTTCTATTGCGTTGTAGCGTTTTTCTACTCTTTTTTGACTTTAATGTCTGCCTCTAATGGAAAACCTACGCGTTGGTCTCTGGTAGTTCTCTTCTGCTAAAAAGTTGACTCGCGGGTCACTCTTGACTCCTGTCGGAATTGTAAATGTTCAGTGTCATTCGGTGAAAATTATATCATATACGGGAAGAAAAGGCTGGAAGTTTAGGGGAAAGAAATTTTTTCAAATAGAAATTTGAAGCAAAGGAAAACGACGGAAATGATTGTTTGCTTATCTGCGATTAATACGGAAAATGGTCAGCTCGCGTGGACCCGACCGTGCCAGTTCGAGAGTTAATACGGGCTACTTCGACCGTAATAATAATAATAATAATAATAATAATAATAATAATAATAATAATAATAACCTAACCCAATTCCAAAAACAGGCCCCGAACGTGGGCCTGTCTAAAAGCTGTCCAATGGAGCGGAATTGCCTGGAGAGTATTTGCAAGCGTACAGATCCTGCGGATAGGATCGATAAACGTGACGTCGGAACACCGAACGGGTTCGCGTCTGTAAAATCGAGCTTACCGCCAAAGTTTTACCAGTCATATGTTAGTTGAAAACCATTAGATATATTTATGCAATACGTAGATATACACGGGGACAGGACCTTGTTTCGTCGCCATCGGCAGGAAACGGATGAAAATAGCATCGAGCCTGATGTCGACTGGGCCACCGTCGGCGTTACGTAGATCAATGAAAGCCGATGTTCTGGCAGAGACACGAACGAGCGCGTCTTTCAACGACCGAGAGAATCTCGATGTCTCGACCGCCACGCCTTGGCAATCCTTTGAATCGGCTCCGCCTTTTCCGACTAATTACCCCAGTGGCTGACTCTCTAGGCTGACTTCACCCACCGAGTGACAATTTCCGCGTCCGCGAAACTTTGACGATTTCCCCGTGGCCAAACTCGCTCTGTCAAACTGCCATCGACTCTTTTCCGTCTGTGTATACGTGTATAATATATATTTATAGAATTTGGACTCGTTGAACGCGTAATCGCAGCGAAGGGATAATTTTCGAGCTCGGGATACGCTGGGGACACGCGGACGTATCGACCAGACATTTCGCCTGGTTCGCCTGCGGGGAAAGTTACTTGAATTTGGAAAGCGCGCGCGTTAGACGAAACGATCTACGCTTTCCGGGCAGAGGCAAGAACCGATGATAGATAGGGGCGGTGCCGCGCTTCGCGATGGCGTCTCCTTCGATTTGGTGTCGGATGACCTCCGAGCCGCCATTTTCCCGCCCTCCTCCCCCCTTTCTCTCTCGCTCTCTCGCTCGCTCTCTCCCCCGCTCTTCCTCTTCCTCGTACTCCCTCTCTCGCCTTCATCCCCCGAGTACTCCGAGTTTTGTATTGTCCCCGCTAGTGCAGTTTCCCCCGTAGGACAGGGGTGCGCTTTCTTATCGAAACGACTCCTCGAGTACGAGCGAGTCCTACTCGTTCCTCTCCTCGCTCCTTCTTTCTCCTCTCGCGCGTTTGGTCGTCTCTCCTCGTACGTCTCCGCCACTCCTTTCGGAAAATTTCATATCAGCAAGATGTATCAAAATTCTGCTTCGTTCTGTTTGTTGTCGTCGATTGTCGCTTGTAGTTGACGTGTTGGACGAACAGTTTCGACTTTG